TATATATATATATATATATATATATATATACATATATACATATATATATATATATATATATATATATATATAATAATATACATATATATATACATATATATATATACACACATATATGTATATATGTGTGTGAGTGTGTGTGTGTATGTGTGAGTGACAAAATACACAAATATATGCATGTTTCATGTATGTATATCTGTGTATGTATGCATGCATACATGCATGAATCTTTGTAAGTACGTATGCAGTGATACATGCTTGTATGTATGTATGTATTGATACATTTATGAGTGTATGTATGAATATCACCGCAACCACGGCCAGCGCCTTGACGCCCGAGGGAGCCTTTCGAAGCCCGCGCCGCCCCCTTCCCGCCATGACAGCAGACGACTCCAAAGTTCCAAACTAAAAATCCATCTCCTCGTGTTGTGGCGGAAGGGGATTGACAAACCCCCTCTTGGCCTTTTCTACAAAATTAACACAAAAGGTGAGACCTAATAGTCGCCTCTGACACACGAAATTACTCGAAAACGCGCAGAAAATCGACCAAAAGCGGACTCAGGGCGAAGAAATAGGTCTCGTCCCCAAAATGGCTGTTAGGAGTCCGCATGCTCAGCGCCATTTCGGTAGCGAGATATTTATTTCACAGACGAGATATTATTGAGACTCGGGAGATATTTTAGAAACAATGGGACATGTATAAAATCTCTTCGAAATGCAGTTCAATATATGAAATACTATTACTTTCCGGAAACTTTGATGCTGTAAAGGGAGGGAGACAAAGGAATAAAGAGATTTTATGGTCGTTGTTAGAGAGGTTTACAATAATCATTGGGAGATAATCCTACATCTCGAGAGAATATTTCGTCCTTTTTCTTGTTGGCTTCTTATTCTTCACACATTTAGATACTGAGATTATGATGATTTTACTCAAGAGGAAAAGAATTTGCTTTAGATTAACGCTGTCATTATCATGTATTCTTGGTATGGAAAGATAATCTCATCCCACTCAGCTGTTCTGTAGAGAAAGTCAACGTTACAAGAAAGAGTGGACTTCTCTTCTACATTAAATAAATTAAACATTCTTTTTTCCATGAATGCATCATAGCCTAGGATAAGAAATTTATTTAATCTTCATGTAAACTACAGTCCTTGAACTTAAACTAAACCATTAATTGGAGCAGAAACTATATTATGCATTAAAAGAAATATAAATGGCAAAAGATTGCAAGCAAAAAACTAAGACATTCATTACTCTGCCAAACAACTCAATTTCAGCTTATTCATTGTTTTTAGAGATTTCTACTTCATATTTGTAACTCATAATTTCATTTATATGTATGCACATATTAACATGTAATCATGCAGTTTGTTCACTTATTCAGAAATTGTCTAACTTACAGATGGTAATATCAACTGTAATTCATTTTGGCATTTACTAATCATGTGCAAATATCATTATAAATTCGTAGTCATGATTAGATTTGTGATTCTCTAAGGTTCAGGGATGTGTAAAACTTAACAATTAATGAAGAGTAATTAACTGAAAGTAAGTTAATCTTGTATAGATAAGATATCTGTAAAACTTGCTGGAAAGATAGTCATGAATAGATTTAATTAAAGATAAAATCCTCCTTCATTTGGTTCAAAATATTCTGCTGATTTTTATTGCAGTGTTGATACATGAAAATGCTACCTGACAACAATATAGAAGCTCAAGTTTAAGATATAAAGCATTGTTTGAAAAGTGCAAAACTTGACAAAAAAAGAAAGGATCTTAAGGAGAATTAATTCAAAAGTAATATTAATCAATATTTAGGTAGATTATAAATGTTTGTTTTTTTAGAAGATGAATTTACTTTGTGATTGTTAATAAAGGACAAATGTACCTAACTATCATTATTTTCAGGTAAAGATGTCCAACCCCATTGGTTCATTTTTAGTGAGGGCAGCAAGATCGACAGTAGCAGGGGATGCCTACGAGGGTGAACCTTCAGGACACACGCTCCCAACTGGAGCATTCTTATCTGAGTTAACAACGACGCAAAACACGCCATCATTCCTTACGGAAACTCCCCAAGCTACTAATGCAGCTTTTTTAGCAGCTCGTTCTGGACACCAAGAAACAATTCTCAGTTTGACAGCACCTGGAGGCACGGGAACCTTTCTCTCTTCTGCTGAATCGGATGTCACTGGAGGAGAAGAGGTGTTGCTTGGGGGCGGAGATGATGGGGATGCTGGTGATATTACATCAGGGCCGTTGCTCTACCTTGATCCTGCAACTGGACTTCATGTCCTTGTGCATCACCTTCCACATTCCTCACAAGAAACTACTGGAACCAGGGTATGGTGACTGGATGGTATTGTGTATGGATGTGTATGTATGTATGTATGTATGTATGTATGTATGTATATATTTATGTATATGTATGTATGTATGTATGTATGTATGTATGAATGTTATATATATATATATATATATATATATATATATATATATATATATATATATAAAATATATGTCTATTTTTATATGTATGTATTTATTTTTGTTTAGGAGAGTGAGGGTGTGGGTGAGGGCAAGGGTGAGGTAAGGGTAAGGGTGAGGGTGAGGGTGAGGGTGAGGGTAAGGGTGAGGTTGAGGGTGAGAGAGAGAGAGAGAGAGAGATTGATGTGATTGATTTTCATATTTGCACTCTATATATGAATACAGGTCTTTCAGGTCTAAGATCCAAAATTATGAAATGACCTTATGTTCCAGGTGGAAGATACGTCTCATGAGCAATTTGTGGTGGTTGGGGCTCTACAGTCAGAAGAGGAGCAGGTGGTGCTGGAAAGACCATTAGATGATAGCACTGCACATAATACAGTTAATGTTGGTAAGTGTAGTTGTCTTTGGATTTGCTGGTAGGTTTTGTTGTATATATAAGTAGGAATTAGAATCTATTGGAGAACACCTGAGCTTTTCATTTGCTTGTTCATTTACGTGGCCATTATTGCATATTAATTTTTTTTTTTTTTTTCATTGCCTTGATCTTGTCATGCTGTGGATGACCACTGCTATTATTGTTCTTGTTAATTTTATTATTATTACTGCTTTTTATTATCATTCTACTAGCAGTAGTAATAGTTGTCTTTGTTATTACTATCATAGTTATTATTATTATTGTTATTATTGTTTTTATTATTGTTAACATCATCATCATCAATTATCATTATTGTTGATTAATCAATCACTTTATTATTATTGTTATTATTATTATTGATGTTTTTATTATTATTATTACTTTTAGTATTGTCATTATTATTACTAGTACTATTATTGTCATTATTATTATTATTATGATTGGTGATTTTACTATCGTCATCATCATCAAGTTATCATTATTATTACTATTGTTATCATCATCATCATCACTGATCGTATTATTATTATAATTGCTGTTTATATAATCTGGCATTTTGATATTGGCCACCCTTATAATCAAGCCAACTCCTTCAATCATAACTTAACGTATAAAGACTCGAAGCTCAGTCTACCCTGATGTGATATTTACCATTGAATATGCACAGGCTCTAGATCTAGTCATGGCTACAAAATGCTGGCAGAATAACAGAAACACCTGCTGTAGGTCCTCCTGGGTTGTCTTAGTTCAGTTCTCACATCTCTATTGGTATGGTGGGATTATTCCCCACACATGCTCCACCACCCTTATTCCCTCCTGCTTGCTCCACTCCGATTTTTTGTACTTTGAAATGAGCAGGAACTTGACATATCACGAGAGAAGGATGTTCTGGTGTCTAAAAATCACTGCGAAGACTAGAATATACTCTTTCTTTAATCTCTCTCTCTCTTTTCCTTACCTTATTATGTTAACATATTAGCACTAGCAAAATGTTGTGCATCCAATAAAATGGAGATAGAAGTCTAATGTGCAAAGCAATATAGATAAGTTACCCCTCATTTTCTATGTATTGTGATTACTGTTATACACTTTAGCAGTCTACTGTGCATCAATAATTTATATATTGTCAAGAGAAAAACATTTCATGGTGTGTAAAATTACACTTTAAACAAATACCTAGTCTTCAGTTGTGAAATATAAAATTCATGTTGGAGGCAAGCTTATCTGAGGAATTATGGTTATTAGGAATTAACTTAAAACATGCATTTTATTTCACTTAATACTTCATACTGCATCCATACATTGAGCTGCATTCTAATACCACTCTCAGATAATGTTAGTTCATTGTCCATTCCATAGAAAGGTATTTCTAAGACATGATCAGATTCCTCTGAGGTACAGTGAGGCAGCTTGGAGAAGTGAAAATAACTGGCAAAGTATGAAAGCAACTAGACTGTATAGCATGGTTGTTGTATTTTCACAGACATGACTTCTGTGAGCCTTGCATAGAAAACTTTCCTCCTAAAGCTGTAAAAGCTAATGGCATGAAAGTTGCAGTTTTTTTTCTTCATTTCACGTGTGACCTTCTGCTAATGTTAATCCATGACACAAAAGCTGAAGATTCAAGGTATTGAGTGTCATGACCAGAATCCAAGCTCTTAGATCAATTCTAGTGATTATTCAATTTTCTACCTTCTTTAAAGTTCCTCTGCTGTACTATGGTGGCAAATTCCCTGAAACATTTTGCCTCCTACATTCCATTCAACATTTCATCTTTGCACTTTATTACAAAATCATTGTCAAAGAAGATTCATTTGAGCAGGTCTATGAAAAGGTTATGACATCAGTGAATCCCTTTTAAAACTGTTGCCCTTGGTTTTGATTGGTAGGGTTGTTAACAGTCCATGCACTTGTTTGTTGGATTTTGGTAAACAAGCTAAGTAGATAAGCTAAGATATATTTTAAAGAAATTTTCAGACAGGTTACAGTTAAACCTCTCTGTCTTTCAGAAAACATGCTGAGATCCCAGGTAGAATCAGCCAGAACAGAACTCACTCCACATCACATTTTTGCCTCACAACTAGAGTCTTCATTGGGCCTTAATGTTGGAGTTACTACATCAGATTCTCTGTCCAGTAGTCAAGCATGCAAGTCCAGAAATTCAGTTTTGAATATTCAGGCCACACCAGAACCAATTGGAGACAGGAGAGAATCTCCTTCCATCTTGGACTGTACTGATACTCCCATGCTGACCCTTCGAGTAGCAGATGAGGGAGGTGGAATGTCTACAGGGGAGCTGAGAAGAGATATACTGGGTATTGAATCAGTGCCACACATAAATTTGGAAGAGATCATTGAGAAGTTCACCAGTAGCAACACACATGTTATAGACAGTGGCGGTGTGTCTGAAACCAACAGAGTTATTACAGATATGAACAGTGCTGTGGATGACAGTGCTAACCCAGTTTTGTCAGAGATAACAGTATACAAAGATCATCCACTACAACAGGATCACAAACTAAGTTTAGAGAAACATATTGAAGTCACTTCAGAGATTTTGCAAGGAGACAACAGAAGCCCAAGTAAAGCCACAACAGATGATAATATAACCAGAAGGCCTTTTGTTAATTCTAGATCCGAGAACGACAAAGGTCACTTTTTGAAACTAAGTAGCATCTCTGACAAAGATGATGATAATGACAATTCTGTGATAATTGATGAAGAGAGCCTTTATGATATTGTAATGACATACAGATGCAAGTTATGCTCTGAAGTTTTTGTTGAGAAGACTGGGCTATTACAACATTACAAGGAAGTACACAAACCAGTGAGTCTTTGGAGTTGTATTCCCTTCTTTTCTGGTAAATCCTAAAACTGGAATAATTCACACTTTTTACTTATTTATAATTAGAAAAGTTAAGTTTTGTTGTGTCTCTAATTATTTTTATATTTTAGGGTGGCACTGTGAAGATTCGTGTGTCAACTACACCTGCAAATGACCAGACACTTTCACTGTGTAATGAGGACACAAAATTACCAAAGAAGAAAGCTGTGTTTCCAGACCACATTGGCAATGTTTCAGAAGCAGAAGAAAAAAGTAGATATGGCTTTCTTATAGATAATTTTCTGTAAACTGAATTCACTTTTGCCTAGAAATAAAGTAGTTTAGCTTTGGTGCCAATAAAAGATGCCTTCCATTTCCAGAGGACCTCAATATTCTCCATTGTGGATTTTGTTCCAAAGAATTCCTGGACCTTCAAGAATGCCGTAAGCATATAAAAAAGGTAAATATGGGTTCTCATGTAGAAAAAACAAAAGTATTGCTTAAACAAACTTGTCTTCTTTTTTCATTATTTTTATCACTTTACTTGATATGAAATGTCAGTTTGTTAGGTAATTCTTAAAGTATGGTCTTATATTCAAATTGATTTTTTTTATGCAGGAACATCCAGGAGAGACAGAGAAGAAGACAAGAAAAGGACATGCACGACCACGAAATTCACAGGGTTTGAAAGTCAAGTATCCTTCGCAACCAGGGATGCTCATTGGCCACCGTAAATCTCGTAGTTATGCTCAGGTGAGTGGGTATTGTATAGCCTCTATTTCCACATGTGTCGGATTTGATGAAAGGTCAAAACATATGCCTTTCTCCACTTAACAATGAAAGTGAGCATGGTTGGATGAAACCCCAGTTAATGTGTTCAGTTATGTATATCTTTAGTTTTTGTACTTTAAAAAATAAAGGCACTTGAACTCACTACAAGAAAGCTGAGATAAAATTAGTCATGCTAGGATGAACTAAGGAATTGGTTAAAATGTACCTGTAGATATTGTTGTTAAAAGAACAGAAAATATTGTTTAAAAACTTTGATATTTAAAAAAAAATGGCACTGGATCAGATCAAGAAAATATTAATACAATTATTTTTTCTGATGTACCTGCTTTCTGACTATATTATCAGTATATATACTGAGATTACTTTCTTCCTAATTCTAATCAGTAATGTTTGCCTCAGCTCCTACTGGGAATTACTGTATGGTAGATGATTTGCATGAACCATTTGACAGGTATCTGTTATCTCTTTGGGGAGTGATCGTGTGGGTGTGAGTTCCCACATGTATGGCTGGGTGCTGAAGCTGAGTGGAGATCAATAGGGGAGCCATTAGTAAAGGCCTAGGCAAGCCTTGTGTTGCTGCTGTTTCAAGTCGTGTACATTTGAGGATCGAGGGATGCTGATTTTGGCCAGATGTTGGAGCTTAAGTACTGTTAAGCTGTGCCAGCTATCTGGGAACGAGGAGAGCATGCAATCCAATGAGCAAGCTCTGAGGTGTCTATGTCATCCAATCAGGTCTCATCATTGAGTCATGGAGAAGCGGCTGATGGTGAGATGTGAGCACAAGGCTGTGGACCTGTTTGACCCAACCTGGCAATTATGTGGAGCATCAGTTTGCGGGGTCGTGCTGCTACAGGTACTCCCCCTCCAGTGAGTGAGCTAAGCAAACGAACAATAAACCATGTTCGTGTCTCTCCGGGGCTACCAGTATAGCAGATGATTTGCATCTACCATTTGACTGGTGTCTTATCTCTTTGTGGA